TGATCTATATCTTGCCACTGGACTCAGATGGCTCCCAAGGAGAGAGTGAGGCTGGTAACTTTGCACAGCTCTGCCTCACTTAAATCCAATTCACTTGAAAGTCATGGTATCACTTTCCTGAGGTCATGGTCCTCTTCGAGAACAAAGGACAAATAACAATTTTGGAATATTTCAAGAATATGGTGACTGATTAGAAGGAGGTGATTGATGTCACCAACAACTTCATAATCTCTTTATTCAATAACCTTTCTCAGTCCTTATCTACCATGAACCCTTCTGTGACATCTGACAATTTTGTTTTTGTCTTTGAATAATATTTTATTATTTTCCCAATTTTGCATGTAAAAACAATTTTTGACATTCATTTAAAAAAAATTTTGAGTCCCAAATTTTCTCTCTCCTTCCCTTCTCCTTACCCTCCCTGAGATGGCAAGCAATGGGATGTAGGTTATAAATGTACAACCATGCACATATTTCCACATTATTCAGGTTATCAAAGAAAACAGACCAAAAAAAATGAATAAAATAGAGAAAGTGGAAAATAGTATGCTTTGATCTGCATTCAGACTCTATCATTTCTTTTTCTGAAGGTGGATAGCATTTTTTCTTTATGAGTTCTTTGGAACTGTCTTGCTGAGAATAGCAAAGTCATTCACAGTTGATCATCATATAATATTGTGGTTACTGTATTTTCTCCTGGTTCTGTTCACTTCATTCTGCATCAGTTTATGTAAGTCTTACCAAGTTTTTTCTGAAATCATCCTGCTCATCATTTCTTGTAGGACAATAATATTGCATTACAATCTTATACCACAACTTGTTCAGCCATTCCCCAATTGATGGACATCACCTCAGTTTCCAATTCTTTGCCACCACAAAAAGAGCTGCTATAAATATTTTTTTACAAATAGATCCTTTCCCCTTTTTTGTGGTCTCTTTGGCATATAGACCTAGGTATTGATGGGTTAAAGAGTATGAGCATTTTTTTTTATTAATTTGTTTTGATTTATCAACAATCACTTCTTTAAGCTTTTGAGTTTTAAATTTTTCTCACCCTCCCGCCTGCCTCCCTTCCATCTTTCTCCCCAAGATGGCACACAATCTGATATAGGTTATACATACACATTCCTATTAAACATATTTTCACATTAGTCATTTGTAGAGATGTCTTAGATCCTTGCATTGCTGAGAAGGGTTAAATCTGTCAGGGTTAGTCTTACCACGTGGCTTTTACATAAGACAGTAATTCTAAGGAATTTTAACATTCTTGGTCAATTTGGCAAACCCACCCAAGAGATAAACAAGAAGGAAATCATGATTAAAAATGTTTTAAAAATTAAATTTGATAAACATGGGAGTTTCTGAATGGGAACATTAAGGAATATGCATATTTCTTCAGGTTCCTATGGGACTTACACAAATACTGATCAAGTGCTAGGGCCCAAGAAACTCATCGACAAATGCAGAAAAGCAAATGTCTTATACATTTTTGTTACAGACCATAACATAGTAAGAAACTGTGGTCAATAAATAAAATATGTACAAAGGATGGACTTAAATGGAGACTAAGAAATGACATTCTAAATAAGACCAGATCTTAGAATTAATAAGAAATTCATATTAATGACAATGATATAACATGGCATAATGAGATTAATAAAAGACTTAAAAGAGACGTAATGAATTCAGTATGAAATTTTTCCCATCCCAAAATAAAACAATAATCGAGAATTTTAAAATTAAAGGCAAGGTGAAAAATTGAAAATTAAAATTACACCAATAAAGTTGTTATTAAAAGATCAACAGAATAGATAATCCAAAGCAAATTGGATCAAAAAAGAGAGAAAAATCAAAAATCCTTTCCTTCCCACCCCTGTCCTTCCTCCTACCATTCTGAGGGACAAAAGGAAGTAAAGAGATGGAGGAATTAAAGGAAGAGAGAGCCTTCCTTACACTGAGCTCCAATGAAGGAGAGGAGGACTGATGAGCTGTGGACTAGACTTTGTTCATTGAACCAAACATAGGCTTCAGGTTGGGCCCAATATGTTCTCCTCCCCACTGGTTGGCCCCAGTGAGCATTTGGGGTCAAGTCAGTAAGGAGGTCTCAGCTCCTGCTTTCCAATGATGGGGGATGGTGCTACATCCCTTGTTCTTTGCTGACTCAGGTGAAGTATGCGCCTAGACATTGCCACTTCCTCTTCTCAATCTCTGCCATGTGGCTTCTTAGAAGAAATTTCCCTCAAAACTGAAAGCCAAGGGGAAATCTGGGAAGTGGATGTGTGTTTATGTGCCCACCAAAAGTCTCTTTGACCTTTGTTTGGTCCTCCAAAGGCTCTGCAGTTCCAGAGAGGTCCTCCTAAACTTTCCTGGATATTTTGAATCTTCTACGCCCAAAATTTTACAAAATAGCAACTTCCAGCTTCCTAGGCAATTGTCACCTTCTGGCCAATTGGAAGGGGGGAATCAAATAGAATAACCTAAGTGGGCTCCTGTCTCTCCCTGTCAAAAATGCCTGGCCCTGTACAGCTTACCTGAGATGCATTGAGGCACAGGCTGAAGATGGATCTAGGAATCCCATTGATGGAATTCATGATAGTCGGGTGTAAAGATGCCTTAAGAGTTAGGAGTTGACTCTTGCAAAACAATCATGGACTCCCTCCTCCTGTCATGTCTGGACACTTATCAGGTCCAGAGTTCTTTGGGAACATCTTCAGTTGCCCTCACCCTCCACCCCCTTGCCTGTCCTCCTGTGGAAGCATGGGTCTGGGTCCCAGAAATGGTTGTAGGAAGTGAGGGAAGGGTCAATGTGCTGTCCTAATTTTGAAAACGTCAGCTTCTGCCCCAGTTTTGGGAGTGGATGCTACCGTAATCTCCTTCCTTTGTTACCCCTACCACCCCCTAGGTGATCCAACCCTTGGAAGTCACAAGGCCTTCCTTTAAACATGATATAAAAGAGCCTATTCCTTTCAACACTGACTTATTGAATTACTTTTTAAAGCTCCTCTAAGTCCCAGAAACAGATCCCAACAGCTCTTTTTGTCTGCATCTCCAGAGTTGCTCATAGATGGTCTGAGCCTCAGAATCACTGGAAGCAGAGTTCACGGGGTGCGACAGAAACTGAGATTTGACTTTTCTGGGGTCAGATCGGGCAGAAAGCTGCCTTGAGCCTCCTCTGAACACTCCCGATTCCTCATAGCCCAACAAGACCTGCCCAGGTCTAGGGGCCTCCCTGCTTCCCAGCAGGGCCCAGGATGGTCCCACCAGCCCCAAACGCCTTCTCTACTCCTAAAATTCCTAAGGATCTTCACTGTCAGAAGTTTTAGAAATTATGGGATGCATTGGGACGAAGCCATCCTTTTTAAAAATACTGATAATTGAGTTCAAATCCGGCCTCAGACACATAACACTTACTAGCTGTGTGACCCTGGGCAAGTCACTTAACCCCATTGCCTAGCCAAAAAACCCCAGCCAAACAAACAGATAATTCTAGGGAGGCTAAGGGGGCACATGAGTTATTAATAGCTTTAGTATGACTTGCATCCAATATCCAGTAAATCCAGGATTATAAAACATCAAGGAAAGAAAATGAACAACTCAAGAAAAAATTTTTGGGAAAACTGGGGAGTTTTCCAGGGAGTTAATATTTAACAAAGGGCTTTTCCCAGTCTGAAGCTGCTCCAGCATCACTGCAGCCGGGCCCTCTACGCCTCTAGGCCAGGATTGGGAGCCCTCCCTAGTGCGCCTGCGTGGAAGCAGAGAAGGCGGGGGAGGGGTGCGAGCAATCTGGCGGGGGCGGGGCCTGGCGAGCGGTTCACCGCTCGCGGAGTGGGAGGAGTAGGCGGAGGCGAAGGAGGCTTGGGAGGGGGAAGAGTCCTGGGCAAGCGCGTGAGTCCCAGGCCACCCGGGCCTGGGGCCGGGCAGTCAATTGAGATCATTTTCCTCCTCTGGTTGCCCTGGCCCCGGGTGCTGGTGTACTGTACTCTGGACCTCTCCCAGAACCCGAGGGTCCAGATTGACTTTCTGGTCTCCCTTAGCAGACCCATCACCCGTGCAATGCAGGCTCAGAGGGGGTTTGGAAAGATGCAAAGCGAAGGAAGATATTGTTTGTCCTTCGTTCTTGAAGAGGACCATGACATCAGGGAGGTGATGCCATGACATAAGGACGCCTAAGGTCACAAAAGGAGCTCGCAGTTAAACACCCCAACTTTTCCCGAGGGAGCATTCAGGCAGAGGGCGTGAAGAAGTCCTTTAGAGCTTTCTATTCAATAAACACAGCTGGGGGAAGGGGGCAGGACTAGACTGGTATAAGGCTTGAATAAGATGCTGGTAACTTCAGCGTTTATCATCCACCTGGGCAGGTGAGACAGACACGTATGAGAAGATCACCATATGTACTGTCAAATGAATCAGAAAGACTTTGACTGATAAAGGAGTTCAGAGATGGGAGAAATCCCTTTGAACTGACAAAGTTAGGGAAAGCTTCCTGGGGAGGTGGCACATTAACAGAGACAGAAGGCATGGGTGAGATTTAGATGTATGCATTAGTTTAGTAGGTAAGTTAATGAGCAGAAATTGTACATTCCCACAGCAGAGGAGCAACTCTAATACTACATACATTTTTACAGGGCCTTTCCTTTGCTGTGGCACTTATTTGTTGGTCATAATGTTGATGTCCTTTTTCTTTTTTTTCTGGAAGAAAAAATATATGAGGCCAAATGAGAGGATGGGAAATGGTCAGATCATTGTGGAATATTAAGGTGAGAGGGCTGGAGAAGTAGGGGACAAGACATGTCAACAATTTTTTATTAAGCACTTACTTTGTGCTGGACAGTATGCTAAGCACTGGGGATACAAAGAAAGGCAAAGATAGTCCCTACTCTCAAGGAGCTCACAATCTAATAGGGGAGACAACAGGAAAACAACTATATACAAATGATTCAGGAAAATTGGAAATAATTAGCAGAAGGAAGTCACTAGCATTAAGGGAGGATGGAAAAGATTTCTTGCAAAAGGTAGGATTTTAGCTGGGACTTAAAGGAAGCCAAAATGAAGAGGGAGAGAATTCCAGAAGTGGGAGACAGATAGTGAAAATGCATAAAGTCAGTAGATGGAAGGTCTTGCTTAGGAATGGGAGACCAGAGTCACTGATCATATTGAGCAGAGGGAGAACAGAAGCACCAGATTGGGAGAGGGTGTAGGATAGCCAAATGAGAGTGGTGGAACTGGGGACAAACCCTGTGACAAACCAGAAGATCAGAGCAGGGTCTAAAGTTTTAATTCTGTGCCTCCAAACCCAAACATGCAAAAGTAATCCTCGCTGAAAAATACTCACTAGGTATCCCAAAAGAATCTCTCCCTTTAACGCCACCCTTTCCTCAAGTACTGCTAGAGAAGACTTTTAAGAGTCTCTAAGGAGATCAAATCAGTCAATCCTTAAAAGAAATTCATTCAGGCCATTAACTGGGAGGTCAAATACTGATGCTGAAGCTTAAATACTTTGGCTACGGAATGAGAACTCATTGGAAAAGACCCTGATGTTAGGAAAAATTGAAGGCAAAAGGAAAAGAGGACAGAAGAGAATGAGATATGCATAGTGTCATGGAAACAAGGAGCACTAAGTTGGACAGATTTCAAGAGATAGTGGAGGATAGAAGGGCCAAGTGTGGTATGGTCCATGGGTTCACAAAGAGTTGGACACAAGTGAATGACTGAATAATAACAACCACCCCTAAGGACTACAGGGGATATACTCAGTCAATAGCAACCTTTTTCTCACTTTCATGTCATAAGAAAAACAGTCAGAAATAGAAATCCTGCTATTACTGCTATGATTGTTTCACATCCAGTTGCCTCAAGACCCCATTTTGTTTCTCTGTTGTCCTGGAGAAAAGATAGGAAAACCACACAACCCCATTATCTCCCCTCTATCTCCTCTGAAGGAGGAAATCCATGGCCCAGTGTCTTGAGGTCAGAATAAGGATAAAGATCATAGAATGTTGGCACTACAAGTTCTGGTACCTTAGAAATCACCCAGATAAGCAGTTCTTACTGCTTCCACGGGGTTGGAAGGGTCTATGAATTTGGATACAGAAAATAGTTACATCTTTATTTTCACTGACCCTAACTGAAATTTAGCGTTTCCTTCAATTATTTAAAAACATTATTCTGAGAAGGGGTCTGTGGGTTTCATCATACTACTAAAGGGGTACATGACATAAAAAGGTTAACTCTTGACTAGTTCAACCAGCTCATTTTGCAAAGGAGGAAATCAAGGGTAGAAAGAAACCTGCTTAGTGTTAACACACAAAATGGAGACCTGGAGCTGGAATCCAGGTATCCAGTCTTCCAGACCAATGTTTCCAAGAAGGGCTCCCAACCTGAAAATTTCAATCTATTAGTAGATTAAAGGCTAATGCTATTGGCACAACCTCCTTCATCAGGATTCCTAAGCAGAAGGAGGAATACAACTTCTCTTCTTTCCTTAGCTCCATTAGAGGACTTTGCCATGATCCTCTTCTGTCACTGCTGACCTCCAGGCCTTCAAAAAACAAGAAAAGTAAACTTCATGCAAAGATTGGGAAGCCCTTATTATACCATCCTAACTTTGGTTTCCTCAGTCAAACTGAGACCTGTTAAAGACCTTAGCTTAAAAATGCCAAGGTCCCCCACTGCACCCCAGGCCATCTCCAGTTGTCCTAATCTATATCTTACCACTGGACCCAGATGGCTCTTAAGGAGAAAGTGAGGCTGGTGACCTTACACAGCCCTGCCTCACTTAAATCCAATTCACTTGCAAGTCATGGCATCACCTCCCTGATGTCATGGTCGTCTTCAAGAACAAAGAACAAACAACAACATCCTAACTGAACTGAGCCCAGGAGTCCTACTGCACATTCCTTTCTTATTAGAGGATAAAGCTTGAATAGAACGTAAGTCAGGTAGAGGTGGCCATCTAACCTATGGGGAAAGAGGTAATCATACTCACAAAAGTAAATCCAAAAATTGGAGTTCCTTTTAACATTTCCCCCATTCTTATCTCTTGTTTCTGAGTAGGCAAGTATCCTGTAAGGCAAGATACATAATTCATCTCTCTGCTAGCCTACCGCTTTGCTTCTAGAAACACGTAACTCTCAGTCCCAGGGCTCTCCATTCAGATGTCCCTGTTGTCTCCTTGATCTCAGGAATCCTGACTTTTTGCCTTCCTAACCCTCTTCCCCATCTAATCTCTTGCCTTCATTCCCCTGCCATAACACAGTATCAATCCAACTGTAGCTTCACTTTATATTGCTTTTGCTGGATCTACATACCTTCCCTCCTTTCACTGAAACTAGTCTTCCCTCTTCTTTTCCCTCTCATCTTCCACAAACGACCTATTGCTTCTTTTGCTGAGTACCTTCTGTCAGACTTAGAACCTCTCTGTCTCTCTGTCTCTATCTCTGTCTCTGTCTCTCTCTCTCTCTCTCTCTCTCTCTCTCTCTCTCTCTCTCTCTCTCTCTCTCTCTCTCTTTCTCCCCTTGTGAATAAATGTGAAGGACTAAGATTTGAGGATAAAGGCTGAAGTTTAGAGGAAATGGAAAGCAAATTCTGTTTACGGAAGTATGCTCTAACTTCATGATCCTGCTAGGAATTTATTCTCACTGGTTTGAGACTATGAGGAAGGAATGTGGTCTGAGCCATAATTAACAATTTCAGAATCTAAGCCAAATTCAGTTGAGCAGCTAGAAGTAACTTCAGTGGTAGTTGGAGGAGAGAGGGGCAGGTGGTGATCAACTGTTACCATTCCTGTGAAAGCTTGAGAGACCGAAGTCAAGGAAATTGAGGAGTGTGAGGAACCTAGAGGCCAAAGAGTTTAGAAAGTTCAGGGATTGAGATGAAGAAGACTGTAATTATTGGGAGTAGTGATAATGATGGAAAAGAGAAAACAAAAGAGCATCAAGGTGACTCATTAAAAATATACAGAAGAGAGCAGAACGAAGTTCAGAAATGGACACAGACAAGAAGGGCAGTATTGTTACTCATTTTTATTATGTCATTAAAATTTTCCCAATTATGTGTAAAAACATTTTAGCAATCATTAAAAAATTTTTTAATTCCAATTCTCTCTCTCCCTGTTCCTCTCCTGCTCCTAGAGAAGGCAAGAATAAATTTAATACTTTTAAAAATAAAGCAAACTCTACTTAATAGTAAAAACCCATAGCTTCATATATAACTGTCTTTTTCTGTTCTTTACCTATTGGAAATTGTATCTTGAAATGTTCATGTTTACTGATGTTTGTTAAGTTTATTATGAACTGAAGATTAGATTAAAATAAGTCACAAACCGCCATTCGTTTCACCACTGGAGGGAACATTCATGGAAGAGAGGTGGTCACAGAGAGAGGGTCTGAAAGGAGCAATGGGGAGCTGATTCCTCCTCCTGGTCTGTACGTCATGGTGGATGAGAGGAGAAGCCAGCCTTTGGGAGGGTAACAAGACATTTTTCAGGAGAAAACTAAGTTCTAATTGTGCAAAGTTAGCCTAAGGCGCTCCCTGCTTAAACCTTGGTTGAACCTTGGGTACTTACTTAAACAGCCTATAGGAAATGTCAGTCTAGAAGTATACTTGCACATGTGTACTTAGGGGGAACAGCTGAGGTGGCTTAAAACCCATTTCCTTATAATATGAGCACCAATCAGCATTTTTCTTTGCCCTTATGTGGAAGTTGTTTACTCCTGTCTATAAAAGCCCTGCGCTGTTTGTAACTGGGGCCAGCTGCACCCCAACTGCTTGTTAACTTGGTGTGTTTATAAACTACTTTTGCCTTGTTTCTTGAGTTTGCCTCATTGACCAGGGCAAGGCCCGAACCAAGAATTCCTTGAGAAGCAGTGAGCACCATAAAATAGAAGAAATCTGCGAGGAAACAATATGGAAGTAAAGGATTGTAAATTTAGAAAGGGAAGGGGAATGGGGACCAGGTTAATCCAATTCAACCCTTGCAATTTACAGGTAAAACTGAGGACCAGAAAGATGAAATAAATGGCTTGTCCCCAGTTATGCAGGGAGTAAGGGGCAGAGCCAGGATTCTAACTTAAGAGTCCTTGGACTCTAAATAGAGAGATCTTTATGCTGCACCATAACAGAGAAATGTTCTCAGAGGGTGTCATGGGAAGGAAAGAGTGCTGAGTTTACTATGTCTAGGCTTAAATGCCTAAGGGCAGTAGTGGCCAGGGGAGCTTTGGAGGCCGAACTGTGTGACCTCATGATCTTGGCCTTTCTGGACCTGTTTTCTCATCTGTGCAAATGGGATGATCATCCCTGCCCTCTCTGCTTCACAGATTTGACCAAACGAAATAATGAATGTGAAAACACACATGTAAGGATTCAAAAGCTGTTGAGATTTAAAAGACTGTTATGGATCACTTTCTATTACTACAAGATAAAGACTAAGTTGCTAAATATGAAATTTACTGTAGTCAATACTTATTATCACTTACCTCAGATATATTTATATATATGTATATAATCGAAAACAAGTAAACAATAGTAATCGTTTGTGTTTTAGATTTCTTAATCTATCCCTACCACCTTCTTCCTATAAGCAAACCTGTGAACCCTAGCCTATTCCCCTCAATGGCTTCTGACTTGGAAATACAGACTATCCGAGCTGGAAGGGACCTCAGAGCTCAGCTACCTTTAGCGTCTCTCCCACCTCTAGCCTTGCTTCTCATTTTACAGAGGAAGAAACTGAGGTACATAGAAAGTGACTTGCCCAAAGTTATACAGCTGGTTAGTTGGCAGGAACATCGCCCTCCTGGCTCCACTATATTCTCAGAACTCAGATCATCTCTTTCTAGCTCCCCCACTTTTCATTCCCCTTTAATTAACAATTCAGCCATCTGAGTCCTTAGCTTCGGGTCCCTCCAGTGAGTGTTCTAGCCACTCTCAGCTCTTGATTCTTTCCCATCAGCTGTGGTCCAAGCCCCTCCTCTAAGGGTTCTGTGGTTCCAGTCTTTGTCAGTCATTAACAAGGAAACAAAGGGGAATGGATTGGGTTAGGACAGGGTTAAGTTTGGGGGCTGCTCCACTCCGTTCTGATGTAGCTGCCTTTGGGGAAAGGAGGGAACTTCTCTGAAATCACGTGACAGGAATTCTTATAAAGCCAAAGGAAGGAGGTAGTGGCAATGTTCCAGTCCAGGGTTACACACCCACACAAAACAGCTAATTTCCTCTTCTCCCTTGATGTTCAAAACTAAGGTTAGGAATTCCTGCCCTGAAAAGATGCTTAAATTCAGCGCGTTCTAGGCTTCTGAATCTAAACGGGGTAGGAGCAGACAGATTCCAAAGTTGTTGTGATTCATCCTCACTGACTCTTAACTGAGTTCAGGCCTTCATTTCCCCCAAGGCGTAGCACGGCTCCTAGCACATACCAGGTGCTTAATAAACACATTGACTTATTGCTTCTCACTTGACTTCTGTGATAACCTCCTAAATTATCTTCCTACCTCCAATCTCCCCCTCCTGTGATCCATCTTTCACAACCTGCCAGGTTAATAATCTTCCTCACATATAGTGCCAACCTTCACTGGTTTTTCTCATTGCTTATGGACTGTCTCTTACAGTGACAAACAGCTCCACATCAACGGCATTAAATAAGTATTAGTTGAATGAATGAACTCTATTATCCTGGCATTCAAAGCTCTGCAGAATCAGGCATCAATCTACCTTTCCAGCCTCATCTCACACTCTGTCACTTCACGTGTCCCTTTTGTCATACTGGATGTCAATCGATAAGGTATTAATGAAGCACCAGAGTTGGGCGCTGAGTTAGGGGCTTCAGATACAAAGACAAAGATAAAACAGTTCCTGCTCTCAAGGACCTTCCATTCTATTCCAGAGGAAGATGACATAAATGTGTAGTACAGCTTTAGGAACTCCATTTGTAAAGAGGTTTTCATGGCTCATTTGTAGCAAATAAGGTTGAGTTCTAGGGGCAGAAAAATCCAGGGGAAGTCAGGTAGCATAATTCCTCTCCTGGCTTCCTCTCTCTCTCTCTCTCTCTCTCTCTCTCTCTCTCTCTCTCTCTCTCTCTCTCTCTCTCTCTCTTGCTGATAGACTTCTAACATTGGGCTGGTATTGTATCTAGGGATGAATGCAGGTTTGATTATAGTGTTCTCTCTGTTCTTTCTTTACCTCTCTTGTCTATTATTTTGGACTGGCTTAAAACTCAGTGGGGAATGCAGCTGATGCTGCAGGCAAGAAAGCTCATTGTTCTCCTACTTTAGTCCTCAGGGATGTCTCTCCAACTGAGCACTGACTGTATTTTTTATGGTCATTCTGGACCAAGTCTATCTCCTTTCACCTCCAGTTGTACCCCCAAAGACCACATAGCCAAGGCTAGCATGCTTAAAAAAAAGTTCTGTACACCAAAGAAGATGAATTAGAACATAAAAGGCAGGGTAGGGGATCAAATAGAATGCCCAATGGGAGGATAAGAGTTAATCAGAATAGTTAATGTATAGCAGGGTCTGACCTGAGGGAGCCAGAAGGGCTTTCTGCTTATATACTGGAGAGAGGCAGTTCATTGGTACCTTCTCCTCAAAGTGGTAGTGAAGGGGGCTAGGGAGGGGATAATGTCTATGAGGGGTTGTCTTACCCAATTGAAAATAATTCATTATAACACAACTACACTGTCATCAGTGTTTCTGTCTTGGTTAGTTTTGCTGGGGAAAAAACAAGTCACTTCACATATTTCTCTTCCTCAAAGTGGAGAATGTTACTTCCTCTTGAACTCTGAGCATCTCTCTCTTCTTCTCAGAATTCTATACAAACCTATCCCGTCATGTACATCTATTTCTAGGTATCTTGTCTCTGTTGTACCTTGAAAGGCAGGTTGTATACATATTTAAGAGTATGAAAATTGCAGCCAAAAATAAATAAAAAGTAATTTGGGGAAGAGAGGCACTAGGAGCTGGGGAGGGGAAGAGGAGGATCAGTAAAGATGTCTTTAATACGCACATTCAGGGGCAGCTAGGTAGCACAGTGGATAAAGCACTGGCCCTGAAGTCAGGAGGACCTGAGTTCAAATCCAGCCTCAGACCAAACACTTGACACTTATTAGCTATGTGACCCTGGGCAAGTCACTTAATGCTATTGCCTAAATATACATGTATATGTGTGTGTGTGTATGTATATATATATATATATATATATATATATATATATATATATATACATACACACACATTCAGATCAAGCTTGACCCCAAGAAGAAAGGGGAAGATGCACACACCTCTCTTTTTTCATTGAAGAGATGGGGTACTACAGGTGCTGAATGTGGCATATTACTCTTAGATACAGTTGTTGTGTTAGTCTACTTAGGAGAGGTTAATATATTTGAAAACATATGATGTAAAAACAAAAAGACATCAAGAAAACTTAATAAAATAAAATGCGTATGTGTATTGTAAGGCCCTGAAT